ACATGGCAAAAACATCCTCAGCTTTTTAATTTGGAAGGCATGCTTGGCTTCAGTGGCTTATCAAGAAAGCCCTGCAGAGAGCCAGCAGCTGCATCTTTAACAACCTGGCTGTTATACTTCGCGTTTATAACAATGCTTTTTAAAACAATGCAATTCCCCTTTGTAACAGGGAGCTGATCCCTGTCCCTGTTATATGTGGAAGCATAGTGATAGCTGTGCTCACCGCTTCCCAGATACAAGTTCCGTGTCGAGACTTTGCCCCGCTGGGAGACTCACCATGGTCCAGCAGGGAGCCAGTCCCTTCTCCCAGTGCAGGCAGGGGTCTTAGGGACAGCTGGACCACACTTTGCGGGAAAGATCCATGGCTGCACCTGGCAACCATGACAGTTGCCTGGGAGTGAACACAAAAGTGTCTGATGTCCCAGGACTGAGGATTCCCTGGCTGCACATGTTCATGGGAGGGAAGAAGCTGGAGGTGATTGGGCCACACACAAGCCAATCCATTTAAAAGTAAGAGAGCAAAGACTCACTCTTCCCTCATCTCCTAGCCAGTAGTGGTGCAGACCTAGGTGTTTTGGGGATAGGCTTATCAGTGGGATGTAGGAACCGCTGACCCAGGTGTTTTGATGATTTAAGCCTGTTAGAGAAAAATGATGGGCTAAAGAGACGTGGGAGTTGAGGCTCCAGTCAGCTGATAGAAGGCATCCAGTACAAAGGACGTCGACCCTTGGAACTGGGACTCAGACCTGGACTCAGGGTAAGACTGCGGGATTTGGCTGAAACAGCTCCTGAAAAGGAATTATTCAGGTCTGATTGACAGTAAATAGGGTATTAACTGTGGAGTCACTTAAGCAATTCATTGGAAGGAAGGTGTAAAGGTGTGCCTGGGGGGCACACGGCTAGCTGGCCAAGACTCCCTCTGAATCTATTACTCCAAGGACGGAGAGTGGAAGATCCTAGTTATAACATATGGGGTAGCGAGGACAGGGTGTCGGGGAGGCAGAGCCCTGTGAAGAGGACCCACCTGTGGGATCAATTTGCAGTCTTTTTTACCTTGTTACCAACAATCAGCTTCCCTTTTCTTTTCCATCAAGGCATGGCAGACAAATGTAAGGAGCTGGACTACAGCTTGGATCCAGAGATGCAAGGTAAGACTCACTTCCATCTACACCCTTCCTCTTTCCTTTAGCACTCTGCTTTATTTATTGTCCAGTAAAGTAGCTTTTCACTCATTTCTGTTGGGGAGGTGGAGGGGTGGGTTTTGCTACATGGGCCATGTCCATGACATGCATGGGAACCTGGGTATAAAGGCATTAGGGCTTTTTTCTCCATGGATTGTACTGCATTGTTCCAGTGAAAGGTGAATGTCAAGCCCTACAATTCTGGTCTGATGACATCTTACACCCTCTCTGCACTAGTGTAAATAACTGCAAAGAATCAGGGCAGTGGACAGTGAGGCCCATTAATCCTCTCCAAGAACTTCAAAGGCTATATAATATGGTATAGTTGGATACACACATGAAGGTACCAATAGAATAAACTGACAGTGGCAGATACAGAATGAAAAGATCCTCTTTAGACTCTAAAATGTAATACACATCATTGAAGGGAATCAAAGTCTTTATAGGCCTGATAAGAGGTTTTCAAGAGGAAGGGAACTTCTGCTGCAGCCAAGCCACAGTCAAGAATCTGGACAACACTGAAGTCTTATGTTTCAGACTTGAAAGAGATGAATGAATTGTGTCAAGAATAGAGCTCTGTTTCCAGCTCTCACTTTTAAGGTTTTTTTCATCATGTGGAACCACATGTACGACATATGTGACATAATCCTAGATGTATGGTCATTAAACAATAATGTCAGAATCAAACCATTACATAGCGCCAAAACTGTAAGTCCCAAAAACTACATCTTCTCTAGGTAGCCAAGACAAGTGATTCATGACACTTATCTACCACCAACTTAAGTGAACAAATAAGATTGTAGTAAACAACAGGATGAAGTACACTCCTTTAAGAACACTTTTTGATAGAGAGTGTATGCCTCTACACCATACACTTTACTGTGCAGCACACTAATTTGCTATGCATTAAAGCATCACTGTCTACAGGTGTGCAGCGGACTAATTTACTATGCTGCCGGTTAGAGCCATCAGATACAAAGGGTATCTAGCAGCGCAGTAAATTACTGTGCTTAAACACACAAATAGATGGTGACGTCAGGGTTAGTTTACTCCACTTCAAATTGAGCCGGAGTATACTCAGTCACATTAGTAGAGCCCTTGCATTTCAAAGGGGCTCACCTGCATTTTGTGCTGTTTGCTATTTGGGTATCTATCTAACCCTCTATTTTTCTGTGAAAACAACATTTCCTCCCTTCCCCAGTTGGCCCTTTGCAAACCTGCAAACACAGATTCTCAATTCCCAGCTCCATCTCACATCCCCAGTGGGTCACAAGCCTACAGAGCTCCACTTTATTATTTTCTTTCCTTAAGTGGGAAACAGTAGAGTTCCTTTGCTGGCCGAAGCTCCCTTTCTTGGCTGACTGAAGCAGCAGAGAAAATATTGTACAGCCACTCATGAACAGTTTGATAATGTTTTCTCTCTCATTTTTTCAAGGTTAAATCCTCGCTCCCAAGTCAGGGCTGCAGAAGGCCTCAGCACAGAGCAGTTCAAATGCGTATCAAGGGGCTGGTACAGGAAAGCTGGTGCAGGTGTCAAAGCCTCTATAACAACTGGATATGGCTCTATAGTGTATAGAAGGCAGCCATCAGAGCACTAGTTAGGATGCTGTGCTCTACCTGCAGTGATCTGTGCAGTAGATCTTCAGAGGAGAGAGCCTAAAGTCTGACCAGTGAATGATTGGCTAATCTATTCACTATCCCAGCCCCATGCCTAGGAGATGCCTTGTGGCTCGTACATGCTGCTGCAGCCCATAGCAGGTCTCCTGTGATAAATGGCCGGGCTGGGGGACAGGGAGTAGGAGAACCTAATTTTCAACTGATGTAAACTGACCAATATCACTAAGTTCAGTAGAGTTAGGCAAACTTATAACTGTAGAGGAGACGGCCTTGATTCTCTTGTTCTGTGTGCGGTTCCTGTGCTCAGGCATTACTATGTCAGACTGTAGCTGGGAGCCTATGGCTCCTGTTACTTCGAGGGGGAAAACAGCAGTAAACAGTGCTCAGGCAGCCTAATAAAGGTGACCTACAAGGGAATAAGCAGTCAGAGTGCCGATTGCTGCACTAGGGGCACAGAAATAGTATGATAGGACAGTTTACTGAAGCAATACAGCCACTGCAATTAGGGTGGCCACTGACACATCCCCAGAATATAGGACAACCCCTTGGTGAGGGGTGCCTCCCCCCACCCCAGCCAATCAGCAGTGAGGAGTGGGCCCGCTTCCTCCTTGGCCAATCAGCACCATAGGGTGGGGCCAACACCTCCATCCCTCCTTCCTTGGCAGGCTGGCTCTGGACCCCTCTCATTGTGGCTGTGCACCACCCTACCTCTAGGCATAGCCAACAGAATCACAAGGACAAATGATTGACATGTTTTTCCACCAATGAACTGAAAAACAGAACTCTGCTATCATTCCTCATTAAGAAACAGACAGGGGACAAAGGGTTTAAAAACAGGCACTAACTGGGCCAGAGAGACCAGACCCCTAGCAAGGTGGGGACAAGGGCCAGAGAGCCCAGTATTGATTAGGGGGGATAGAGACCCCAGAGTCCAAGGCAGGGCCAAGACCTGCCTGGGGCTCATCGCTCAAGGAGGGCAGAGATGCCAGTGAGAGGCAAAGAAAGGGTCACGGAATCAAAGCCTGTGAGGGGCAAACTCTGGGGCCAGGGACCCAGAGTGAGAGACAAGGGGCGGAGACCCCAAGAGCCTAGATTGGCAGGGCAGGGCCCCAGGATCCTGGCCTGGCATGGTGGGCCTAGGCAGCAAGGGGTCAGGTAGAGGAAAGGAGTGGAGGCCGTGAAGGCTGTGGCCCCCACAAGTGTGTGAAGGCCTGGAGTGAACAGACATTAGCTTGAGGGCAATATGCCCCCCTCAGTAACAGCTGTGAGGCATGGGTATGGGAATGATTGTAGGGAAGATTTGGAGGCCATGATTTGCCCATAAGGCATCAGATGCCCTATGGGCACGTGCAGGCCAGAAGGGCCTACCTAGTGCAAAGGCTGGTTATGGATCAGGAGGGTCTGGGAGCAATCCACTGACAGAAGGACCTGGGGCAGCTCCCTGTCCAAAGATAACAAAGAACATCAAGGCATGGCAGGCAGGTTAAAAGCAGGGATAACCTAGAGCCAGAATGCAGTGGAAGCCAAGTCACCACCAGGGGCATAATGGCTGCCTCTGGGGCACCAGTCCTGTTACACTGACTTAATGGTACAGTTAATCCAGTAACCTGTTACTGAAGGTATCTGTAATACACGTTTCAGAAAAGTATGCAAAGCTCATATACTAGACAACTGTGTAATAACTTCTCCCTGGGAAAGAGATCTCCCCGCCCTTGCTCAAAGAGCAGATGATTTATGCCCTGAAGCAGGAGGATTTACAACTCTTTCTCTGCAGCTTCCTCAAGGAACAAGATTCATCTTCAGTAAGAGTGGCAAATTCTTAAAAAAACAGATATTTCAAACATTTGGATCATTTTCATACAGAGTCTAACAGTTTAAAAGCCAGATCCAAAGCCCACTGAAACCACTGGAAAAATTACTACAGATTTCAGTGAGCTCTGGATTGGGACTATACTTCAGGCAAATTTTGGCTTAGGCTTTTCATTACTAGATGTTTCTTTCTTTTAAACAAGCAGCACTTTGAAATGAATGTAGATACTTTAAGAATCTGACAGCATTCTGCAGATTTCTGGAAAACTCTAGTCACTTTGTGAAAATCAATTGCTACACAAATTCTATCTGTACTAGGGTATCTCCCCTGATTTTGAGGTGCATCTTTATTACTTAGAATAACATATTTACTTACTAAATATAAGTAAGTACCTTGCTTGAATCTCATTTCCTTGCAGTATTGAATCTGTAGATCTTTGGTCATGTTGCCTCTTCAGTTGAAAACAATATTGACAGATTCTTAAATTGGTGAAGACAGCATTGTTATAAAGCTGTAGGTCTGTTCTGCCCACAAGGGGCCTTTTTGCTACTCCTCCAGCTTTCTTAAGAAAGGTTTTGATCCTGGTGAAAAAAGGAGAAATAGATTTCATCTTAAATAAGGAAATAAAGCTCCTGTTCAAACAGCAGATAAAATGTGTCAAAACACTGAGACCAAAGTAAAGCTGGTGTTGCTCTAGATTTGAACTGGTATCACTGAGATCAGAAAATGATTCCATATGAATGTTTAAAGTTTATGATTTTCTATTAAATTCTATTGGTGTTTTAAAGTATACGAATCTAGTGGCTAAATTCCTATTAATTCTGCAGGGTTTTACCAGTAAGGATTTATATGCAACATACTGTTTCTTTTCCCTGTTCCACCACTTCTGGCCCAAACCACAGTAGAACTGATACAACCATGCTACAAAGTCCAGGATATATTATAGGGATTATGCACCCCATATGTATCACATGTAGGGCTCCATATGGGTTCTCTTCACAGGTCAGCAGGGTAGTCAGTATGCAGTTAGCCAGAGTGGCAGCCCATGCAGCCATACAGGGCCAACAGATGTGCGTAATGGACATGCCCTTCAGGGTAACAGACGATCAAAAAGTACCTTGTGATCCTGGTTTTGGTACAGCACCCTGGAGAGCAGCCGAATGCCAGTGTCATATCCAGGAAATGGGTAACAGCCTTGCAGATCTCGAGGCCAGTTTCTGTCAGCACCTTCTGCAGAAGACAAGCAAGTTTATCATTAAATTGGACTCTCTGATGACACAGATGAGACGAGCAGACAGAGCGCCATTTGTGTTTGTGACAATGAGCTAATAAGCACTAGTGCAGAAGAACATTAATTTCACTTGGTTAAATCCCTTCCTTTGAAAATATTCAAATTAATAAACGTTGTGTCAAGTCTTGCAACCCCTCACTCTAGTAGGCAATCCTTACACATGTGTGTAGCTCCATGAATAGTTAACAGGATCACTAGTCCTAGCAAAGCATGATAAAGCTAGCCTGTTATTTGTAGCTTAATGCACACCAGCTACATATTTTAGAAGAAGGATGAGGAGAAAAACCTTAGAAAAATCATGTTTTTGTTAGGGTTATTTTTATTAATTTTTGTCTGACTTGATTATAAAAGTGAGTCAGGTTCTATTAGTGGGGCTTTAACTTAATTTTTTTTTGAGATCCTATCATTTAAATTATTGCACTTTAATGATAATACAATCCAATTTTAGCTTTCTACATCTGTGGCGCTCTTATATTTTGACCGGTACTATAAGAGAGTATATTTTTAAATAGCAAATTCTTTAGAGAAACAATTAATTACTGCTAGTTATAACAGTAAGATTTTATTTAGCACATAACAGCAAGGGAACTGCACAAGTATCGTGCATATTCTTTTGTATTATTTAGGAAAGGCTGCTCTAAGAAGGTATGGAAACAAAACTTTTTATTTTTAGCCAATAAATATAAAAGACAGATCATCATTTGGTGTAAGCATATGTTCTTTTTGTCACTGTTTTGTTTCCACAGCTGGGTAAATGCCTTGTCCCTTTGCCTTTGTTCTGGCACCTCTTGGTTAATATAAGGGACACAAGCTTCTTATTTTAAGCAGAAAAATATTCTAATTTTGTCTGTGCTGTGCACTGCAAAAGACTCACTATAATCTCCTTAAGGAATGAAAAAATAGCAACCTCTGGAGTCTAGGGCTAATTCAAGGAGGTTGGCAACAACTGTCAGAGTTTTAAAGTGCATTCAAAACTCAGATCTCTGACATCAATGAAAAAAAAATCAACACATCACCTAAATTACCTCAGAGCTATTTGCATAATGGGTCCAGAGGCGGCACAGTATAAGTAGGGAAGCACTAGCCATCCAAAGAGAACTTAGCAACAGTTCTATTGGATGCTGCGTGTGTTTGTAGTAAAAAGGGCAACTTTGAAGCTCAGATGTGCAAACAGCTTTAAAGGAGTAATCTGAGGAACCTCTTGCAGGAAGAACAACCCAGATCCAAACACAAACCAGGTAATGTATAAAAGCCTTTAAAGCTGGTTACTCTTAACTTGTTTTCTTAAGAGTGTCTTGGGCAGAACAGCCCTTTTCAGTAGGATGCTGTTAAAAGCCTTAAAAGGCTCCTATTCAGGGACTTTCTCAGAGGTAATGAAAAGAGGTAAGAGAGTTAACACTCTTGTCTTCTGTTTTAATACCTTTGTTAAACTTTACAGTAGATTTTGTATTTCTTTAGCTGAGGAAGATGTATTGGGGATGCAATTTAACTATAAATGGATGGCACGCTAATATTCGCAACATTTTGTATTCTAGGTAAGAGAACTCCACTAATTGGTAAATAAATCATCAAAGCATGGATGTCATGGTGATAGGTGTTTATCTATCTATATATTTATAATGGCTGGGAGAGGGGGAGAGAAACAAATAGGCATCTATATATTTATAATGGCTGGGGGAGGGGGGGAGAAACAAATAGAAAAAGATAGATAGCTAGATAGATATTATTTTTATGCAAGTGAGTTGTAAGAAGATCAAGGAAAGCAACAATATATATTATCACACATGCACTGACATCTATTTTAAGTGGGTCCTCAAGAGATTATCAAATGCCAATTGTCAAAATAAAGTTGAATATCAACTAAAAGTGGGACAAACATGTTGCAAATCCTAAAGTTATTTTTAAGTGGTTCCTTGAGGAGGGAATTATCTGATGGCAGTATCCCTGGAGCAGGTGTAGATATGTATGTAAAAAAACCTGAAAATGAAAGAATGAATGCAGAGTTTTACAAGGGAAAAGATTTTAGCTTCTGATAAAGGGATATTAAAAATTCTAAACGCCAACTTGCTGGCTTCAGAAAGATCTGCATGTCATGGAGTTAGACATGCAAAACAGAACTGCTTGTTCTAGTAGGAAAGAGACCTAACACTCCGCTCCAATTACAAATGAACTGAGAGCTGTCAGGAAAATTAAAAGGGACGTTAAATCACTGCCCTGGGAGACTCCAATCTCTGCAGTTGCATGGAGTGCTTGAATGCAGTTTCACATTCTCTGGCTCTGGTCTGAGTTCCTAGGAATGCTTTAACCATTATTGTTTGTTCCATTCCCTTCCCCTACCCTTTACTTTCTCATGAAAGTTTCAGGAACATCTCTCCTGCCATGACATCATTCCAGCTGCTGCTGCTGCTTTCCCTGACTCTGTCTGGCATCTGCCTGAATTTGGGGCAGCCCACTCTGGATGGTGGTGAGAACGGGGAAAGGAGCCACCTGGATGACATCTTGCAGAGGGCAGAAAGCATCCTCCTTAGGTCTATCCTCAAGAAAGTAGAAGAGGAGGAAGAGCTCAATAAAGGTAGATGTGCTACTGCCGCCATTCTGCTAGTGGTCTTGGGGTGCTGCTCAGATGGAAGTCATTAATACTATTAGTTTCTGGGATGTGTTTTGTTTTCCCTTGAATAACCATTATAGGGGGACAGAGTGAGCCAGGCATGATGAAGGGAGATCTCAAAAGTGGTTCCTTCAGTAGGGAGATTTCTCAGTGTGGGAACTGCTACACCAGATCTAGAGCATCCCCCAGATGCTTCATAACAAGATGATTCCCTAAAATGGAATCACCTATCTAGGAAATAAGTTCTGTTAGAGACAGCTCTAAGGGGAGGCATAGTGTACACTTGTCACCATTGTCCCGTTGCTGGTGTTAACAAAAGGCTAAAGTAGTTTCTCAGCTATTCCCTGCCTGCCTCATTGTCTGCTGCTCCGTTAAAGGAAGGGATAATGGTTTGTGACTGAGAAGGTGTGGGCTGCTGATGGCCGAGGATTCCTTTTGAGTGTTCACAGACTCTCTTCTCCCAGTAGACTTGGGTAATAAAAAACATAGTTAGCTGGGGTCCTTCCCAACAGGAGGGGAGCAGGCTCTGCTCTCAGAATGAGAGAAACCCCACCCTCCTACAAACATCTCTTTAAGAGAAGAAAGCTGGGCTTCTTAGCTGGTTACATGCATTCAGGCCTTGAAAGCTCCTATGCTTTCAAAAGGTCCCTCGCATCCTTGCCTCTCCCTGACTTCTAGCCCTGGCACATCCTGACCCTCCACTGGCAGTCAATTGTTCCCATGTACTCACATGTCGAGATACTTCTACTTACCTCCCCAACATCCTCCAGTACCTAGTTTGGCTCTATGGCTGCCTCCCTCTCCCCGGACTTCTGAGGATCATGCCCCTACAATGGCAGGCTGGGCCCCACCTTTGGAGCTTCTGCCAATTCACTTGCAAGCTGGTCCCAGTTCCATCTGGCTGAAATTCCTGTGTGCCTTAGTGTACACTCAACAACACTGTTCAATCCTATAGAGCAGGGGTCAGCAACCCCCAGCACGCATGCCAAGCATGGTGCGCAAGGCCATTGCTTGGCACACCACTGCCAGCCTGGGGTCTAAGCAGCTCCTGCCAGCCACAGAGCCCTGGCTGCTCCTAGCAGGTGGCTGGGAGGCTGCAAGCCCTGCTGCAAGCAGACCGGGCTCCGTGTGCTGGCTGTAGCCAGGAGGCTGCAAACAGATGCTCCAAGCTCCAGCATGTCGGCACTCCAGCACCTTCCAAGGTAGACATTGTGGTTTTTTCAGCACTCCAGCCAAAAAACATTGCCTACCCCTGCTATAGTCACCCTGGATTTCCCCTAGCATAACCACATGTGGAATCTGGTTCTTTGACCCCTTCTGAACTATGACAGACACACCTCAAAGACTTTACCTCTCAGCTTCCAGAACAGTGACTATTAAGATGGTTTGTTAACACTGATCATTTCTTTGGACAGAACCAGATGCTTCTGAGCCAGACTCTCTTTCCAAACGACAGCACCCTGGGAAAAGATTCTTCAATGAACTGGAAAAGAGACAGCACCCAGGGAAAAGGGAAGATGGGGAAGAAGCCTTGTATGGTGACATCCAGAAGAGGCAGCATCCAGGAAAAAGAGAGGAAGACGATGACCTTGACCACTACCTGGAGCTGCAGAAGCGACAACATCCTGGCAAAAGGTCACTGTGGGACCAGTATGTTGATGCCCCTGGCACCCAGCTGACCTACCTGAATGAATTATCCAAAAGGCAGCACCCAGGCAAGAGGTATCTGGTTTATGCCAAGCGTCAGCACCCTGGCAAGAGGGGCTGGGAGGATGAGCTGGATCTGGGGGAGCAGGACTTGGAGAAACGGCAGCACCCTGGGAAAAGATTCTCCGACTCTGAAAGCCCAGATTATGCTGCCCCCTGTGACCTCCAAGATGACTTCAACTGTAGCAAAGGCAGCTTATTGCTCGAGTTATTAGATAATGTCAATAAGGGCAGGGTGGAAGAGAAGCGGCAGCATCCGGGGAGGAGGTCTGCATGGGAAAGTGAGGCTGAGGCAGAGGAATGAGGATGGCTGAGTGTATTGTACATCATTTACATTTGATTGAGTCATCTGCCAGACCACTTAAAGTTCTCTTTCTCCTCACTCTGGCTCCCTGAAGTGCCTAACTTGAAGTGTGTGAGTGTTCCCATTGAAGGCAAGGGCATTATTCACACGCTCAAAGTGAAGGGCATGCTTAAGTACTAAATCGAATTGGGTCAATATGTCAAATCCTGCCAAGTCTCAAAGGCCTTCAATTCCCACAACTGTGGAAGTTGAGGTGCTTGGTTAATCATGGGATCCGGCCCTAAAACAATGACTTTCTGTGCATGCACCATTTCTATTTCCTGAGGACTACCCTCACCTTTTATCTGTCTAGGATACTTGATACACAGTTTCCTCCTATGTAAGGGCAATCAGAAAATGGATGCATCAAGAATGAAAGAAAAGAGTGGCATATGCGTGTGATTTCCAATTGAAATGTAGAAAAAGAGGGTTTTAGTTTAGAATGATGGAGTTGGTGTGTATCATCAGAACGGGTCACAGTATGTGAAGGCACTTGTTCCACTATATCCTGGGCAGACACAGGCATTGTCCAAATGGAACAGGTAGGATGTTTGGGCTTCACACCTTGACTTGGAACAACTGCCTCAAGGCAAACATAAGTCAGGTAGGAAACTGTACAATGCAAATAAATAATCCATGTGTCATGTAACAACTTAAGAGTGAGTTAAGAAGAATGCTGCATAAGTGATCACAATAAATTTTCCTAATCACTACCTTCCAGGCATTTGGCTTGAAATCTATGCCTTTCTATTAAAAGTCAACAATTAAATTGCAGCAAGCCAATACTCTTTACTCCTGTATTAGGATTTTTGTTATTTTTTTTTCAATGTAACCTTTTCTCTCAAAGACATTTTTCACTTTATGTGGTCTACAGATTCCTAAAGGTGTTTATTTGCCATGAACAACTCAATAAATATCAACAGTCGATCCCATCTCAACTCTGGGTGTCCTTTCTGGGTGTGCAAATTTAATAATATGAAAAATATCCAACTCCTCCTGAGTGAAAAAAAAATTAAAAAATACGGAAACAGATGCGAAAAGGATATTTTTCTAGGCAAACCTCTTGCGTGCTATTGGTTGCTACATATTTGTATAAAAAAGTATTTTGCTATTTAAATGGAAGGATGATTTGTACAAAAATAGTCAAATCCCTTTTGAAACCTTCAACTGGTGTATTATAATAAAATTACGCATGTGGAAAAACCCCACATGCATTCGTGTTGCACAGCTGCACAGTGAGCTTTGATTATTTGACTCTGAGTCTTGTAAACAAAAGGATATGTTAGTTTGAGTCAGACTGGGTCTATAACACAAAACTTTATTACTCTGGAGCGTACACAGACACAGTTCAAACCTTCAAAATTAGATAAACTTAACAGTCTGGTTATACAGCTGTGTGTATTTACACATTTGTGCCAATGAAAAGGAGACACAAACCTATCAGATTCTTTATGTTTAGCAGACACATAATTCTTCATGCTTGGTAAATCGATTTATACTGATGTAACCAAAATCAGAATCTGATCAGTTACTACAGTAGAAGCACAGAGCATGGATTTGCACACACATGCTGTAATAGGTGTCCCCACGGTCCCAATCAGCTGTACAATTTGCTTTTCTTTACTGCTTTGCAGTAATTACATGTACAATTAGAACTTCAACTGCAGAAACAACCGTGAACTCTCCTAGATTTCTCTCTTTCCAAAAAGACGGGCATTGCACACAGGATATGAACAGCAAAGCCAAGAACAGAAGTGAGGGGTTCACCGCACTTCCCACCTTCTGCACCGACTGCCAGCAGTGATGATATTTCACCTCTTCTATGATAAATGAGTTAACGTTTCAATATATTCCCTGGCTGGTGGTTTATAAAAATCAAAGCAATCCTGATTTTCAAACAAATTTACCCTACTTAAATCATTCCAACAGCATATTTTAAGACAGAATGTTTCTCTAGTGCAGTGTTCCTTTTCAAATGATTGGCTCTCTTCTCTGAAGTACTTCACTACTTAAACAAGTTAGCATTGCCATGTGGGTTTGTTACCCCAGAGGAATAATTAACAACCTCAGCAAATTTTACTGAGGTTAGAGGTTCTCAACATGACCCAAGCTCGATGTGGTTAATCAAGCAAGCTCCATCTTCAGAGCTAACTTAGCAGGAATCAGTTACTCACAGTGGCTTTCTAATTAAAGACAGGTGAGTAAATCTTCACAGCATCTTGTACACATCTTGTTCACTTCAGAATCCTTTGGTATGTTTTCCACATGTGATGCCTTTTTCCAACAAGTACTTCTCATTACATCAGAGAGGAAATAGGCAGACAAAGTTCTTTGGGTGAATCTGATATCTTTTATTAGACCAATTTAAATAGTTGGAAAAACATTTTTTAGCAAGGTTTCAGGTTTAAAAACCCTTTGTCAGGCTGAGGATGGAATGAATAGTAATTCCATCCAGAAAGAGCACACACCAACTGCAGAGACTTCCTCAGCCTGATGAAGCATTTTTAAACCTGAAAGCTTTCTAAAAATTTTTTTTCCAGCTATTTACATTGGTCTAATAAAAGATATCAGATTCACCCAAAGAACCTTGTCTGCCTATGTCTTTAGACCAACATGGCTACAACCTACACCCCATCAGAGAGGAAAGGAATTTGTTTTAAAAGACATTTCCTTGTGTCATATGTCACTGCCTGTTGGTTAAGTAGGCTTTTAAAAACCCTAATGACATCACAGTAGACCACCGACTCAGATCTTCACATGTACAAAGCAAAAGGAAATGGGATAGAATACATTTTAGGTCTCTGAATGGACATGTATGAAACAGCAACAAATAAAATACATCAGCATCTTATAAAAAGGGGAACCTTGTGAACCCAATCAACAGAACAGAAAGAAAAGCAAGGGAAAAAATAGTCTAAAATACAGCTTGATGTATGTATCCAGCTGTGTGGGGGGGTCCATGGAGAAAGTCTCCATCTGCTGGTCAAAGTTATTCCAACACAGCTATAAACTTCTGTTTAAAGTGCTAGGTAAGAGGAAAAAGTCAGCATAAAATCCTCCACTGTAATCATATATTTGACCTATATTACCAACAGCACTAAAGGTAATTAACAATGAAAAAATCCACCCCGGATCCTTTTAATTTACTGCATTTACCTCTCAGTGGAGTCCATTAAATTCAACAAAGGTCTTCCCCCTTCATCAATCCATTTTATCTGGGGTTTTATTTCAGTGCTCCATTATCTGGCTGTCAAAGCAGCACCAAGAGGAAGCTTATTTATATGAAAACAACTCCCTCCAGGATATTTTTTATAGGAATCAGTTATTTTCTAGTCTTTATAAATGCTGGCTTTTGCAAAATCTATATCTTAGGCCATACTTAACTTGACAATGTTTTCTCTGAAGTCAAGCTTATCATGTGCCCTTATGGTGCTTGACATTTCTATTTTAACTGGCCTGAACTCAGTATTGCTGAAAAAGGATTGTTAGACATCACTTAAGTGAAGAACAATGAAATCAATTGTTGGGAAGGGTTCCCTCATACAGCTCTACTAATGCACCTTAAGCACCACCCACAACACTCCATCCTTTCCAGTACATAGCATCTCCCTGGAGGATGCCTAAGCTGAAGCTGGATGGGGTGAAGATAATATGGTGGGTAAACAAGGAGGGCTACCACCTGGTGGGTCAAAATGTGGGGAACTACAGGATTCAGGTTGGGTTGGGAGAAATGTGGATACCGGGCCTGTTAATAGCAAACAAGTGCCTGTGCAGACCAAGAGATTGCAGGTACAATGCATCCAAACCACACAGTGGTTCATAGGAATAATAAATACCCATTCTTCTTTTCAGTTATCTGTTGTAAAGCATGTAGATTAGCCAGAAATATGAGCTTGTAACAGAGTGGTCTGATCCCTTAAGAAGGAAGGAAGAAAATACAGTTGTGGGACATTCAGCTAGTGAGGGAGTGCCCATTGGGAGCTTTAGAAAGCTCTGGGAAGAGAAAGCAAGAGGGAACAGCTTGCTGTGCAGAAAAGCCAGAGAGAAAAGTGATTCTTCTAATGTCTGGAGCAGAATAGAGGATTTTGATTTGGTATGTTTGCTTTGCTAGAGACTGAGGTTTGTATTGCAGAGAATAAACCTACCTGAGGAATTGATAACATAGCTACCTCTCCTGCAAAAGGCTGCAGGATAAGCAATCCTTTTACAGACTTACTATTGCAAATGGGCTTGACCCAAAGGCCTGGATCTGAAATCTAACCACTTTGGGGGAAATGGTGATTGGAACCAATAGTTGGGCTGTATTCAGGATAACTGTTAGATCCTGTTTCTCACTTATATAATGACTTCCATCCTCTACAAGCATCACTGAACCCAGTACCGAAATGCAGCCACTTCTGAGACACCATGTATTCTTCCCCACTCACAGATGGTAAGGCTGAGGCTGCCATCCTGCATTCCAACAGCCACTCACTTCAGCTGCTGTAAGTGAAGGAGGACTCCATCGTTGACAGTAGGGCAGACCTCCATTATTATATGGTATCTAATAACCATGCGCGGCAGATAAAACAACACTTATCAGGTTCTGTAGAAAGTCCCAGACCCAGGCATGACTAGCCAGACAAGAATGCAGCTTCTTCCCCTGGAAAGGCTGTAATTATGAGTGGACCCTGTTTGCCCCCCGCAACATAGGAACCCCTCGTCTTTCAAACCTGGGAATAATGTGAACAGTGAAGTGTGGAGGATAGGAATGAAAATGGCATTGCTAAATAGCAAAGCCTGCAGTGAACCTGAGAGAGAGCCCAGTAGAATGGGTGGGATGGTATTAATCTCTTCCATGTGGATTTGCCTAATTGTGGAGTTGGGGTTAGTCAATGTGCTTTCTAATTGTCGGGTTCCTATCTGGGTATGATTATATCTAATTAATTATGTCAGCCATGGTTCAGTGAACTGCACTCCCT